TTGTAATTATGTTACGAGAACAATCGACGAACTCTTATCAAGAGCAACTCTCATAAAAAATGATGCTACTAGAATGGCTTTGATAAAAAACAAGGAAATGACATCATAAAGGAAATGATTCTTTGAAACCAAATGTGTTTGGAAAGATATGTGAGTTACCATTGTCCGTATAACTAACATGTTTACGGAAATGAGAGTTTTAACAGACTTCAATTTTTCATGCTTTTTTCACTTCAGTTGTTCATCGTTTTCTAAATTTTGACATGACGGTTAGTTTTGCTACGGTTAGGTATTACCGTAACTTCAAATATGATAAGGCTACTGTCAGCTAGAGATATGCAGGGTGACCCTGCCCTGCCTAATTAAAAAGATTTAATTTTTACTATTTTCTCAATGTGTGTCTGAACACACTGATAACCAAATAAGTAATCATAAAATAATGAATAACCATATAAGGCAATCGCAATGCTCTTGGCATGTTGATTCATTTAGGCTATTATTTTGTTCAAGACCCATCAAAATTCGAAAATTTCAGCAAAAGACGTGGTAGACCTAGAAAGGCACGTTTAGCATTAATGAAATAAACATTTTTGTGAAAACAGTTGTTATTTCTTCTGAGAATATGTGATTTTTTTTACAGTACAGTAATATGTTTAGTAGTTGAGAAAATAGTAAAAATTAAATCTTTTTAATTTAAAATACGTTCTCTTTCTATCTCAATTAATTTGCGTTCTCCGAAAAATTCAAAACGTCCTCTTTTCAATCTAATTGCGTTCTCTTTTAAATTCTTGTCCACGAATCGTTGAATCAAGTGGAAGAAAAGATCATTTCAAAATGTAAATCTAAGGGCATATTTTCAACTTGAGAATAACTAATTAAAAATATTTTCACCTACTTGAACATCTGACTGGTCGAAAATAAAGGTTATAAGAAACAAGTAAGAAAACGAAGACAAAATACACAACTCAGCCTGTCAGGCTGCTGAACTACTACCTGCACGTGTATTATCGATATTTCAAGAAGTCGAGAATAATTTCGCTGCTTACATTCCCACGTTAGCTATATAAGTGGATTATCAAAAAGCCTATGACAATGTATGGCATATGGCTCTTATTGTTAAACTATTTAGGTTAGGAATGCCATTAGGGCTGTTAAAAATTGTTTATTCTTGGTTAAGTGACAGAAAAGCGTATGTCGTTTTTGGTGAAATGGAATCGAAACTTTTTTATTTACATATAGGTTTGCCACAGGGCAGTAGTTTAAGTTCGTATATATTCATTGTTTTTCATAGCGACTTGATCTCTTATATAGGCGCGCACTCAGAACATGTTTTTGCTGATAACCTGAATGTCTTAATAATTTCACCGACAAACCAACGTCAGAATATCTATAAGAAGATGAACCAAAAGTGTGTAATGACTTAGCGAGCTATTCTAAACTTTGGAAGCAGTGAATAAACGTTTCAAAAACAGTAATACAACTTTTTCATACACAAGTCTCACTACCACGCATAAATATTTTATAAATAATCAAAAATTAGAGCAAGTTAAAGATCTCAAGCATTTAAGATTCACATGGACAGAAAAACTATTGCTTAGATATACTGTAAGGAAATGTTTAGAAAACATACAAAAGTCCTATGGAAGACTCAAATGGTTGAAAAATAACAGAGAGATGTCTACTGATGTACTGCTACTTTGCTTCTTTCCGTACTCATTTCCGTATTTTGCCTAGATGTTTCCGTTTCTTCCTTCCTCCCGCAGTCACAGACCGATTTATTTTTCAGAAAATTCAGAGTCGGTCTTCGACTTATACACTGATGTCATTTTGTTCCCAGTAAAAATTTATTCTCATTTACGGAAGAAAAGCATCTAAAGTTCTATGTGGATCTAATAGTGAAACAGTAGAACACTTTTTCGCAATATGTCCTCTATACAATACACAACGTGCGCTACTGATAAATGTTTTTCAAGAAGTTTTTAATACCAAAAGTATAAATTTCAATCACTTTTTACTGCGTAATAAATCTGTGTTGAAATTAGATAAGGACAAAATAAAAATAATTTTAAACTCGGTTATATATTATATTAAAACTTTTTTTAATTCAATTTCACTTCAAGTTTTCCAATACTTTCTCTAAGACTGCGAGCACTTTTGAGACCACATTCTAAAAGAGCAAGCATTTTTACATATATCTGACCGTTTTTCATCAACAAGAATGCATTCCTAACACGATGGTAGTATTAATTTGGTGAAAAACGTAACTATATCATCGTACAGTAAAAGTTGAATATTTCATAGACAAAAACATTGTTTCAATTCCAGATGTGATATTCGTGATCAGCACACTCAATTGCATATAGTTCACGCACATTTATGAAATGTGAGGGAAAAGATTTTACGGAAACCCTAAGTTCTAGTATAGGCGTCAAAAGGTTCATATCAGAATTTCGGAAAACGTATCGTGGAATATGTTGCATACGTTATTTTGACATGTTTCCGATTGAAAAGAGTCAAAAGTTTTGGGGGCTGCAGTCCAAGTTTATCACTTTATTAAGTTTATTTACTTTCGAAGCCATTTCAAGGGCCCCCCCTAGAAATGGTGATTTTCGGTCAAAAAATCGGTTTTGAGATACGCACATGAAAAGATAGCCTGAAGTGTCTACTTCCAGAATCTGTATTGCTTTTGGTTACAAAAGTGGGTTTTCCGGGATTTTGAGCAAGTTTTCTAATAGCCTCGAAAAAATGGGTCTTCAAATAATGGTTTTTTCCTGGATACTTATGAGCCATTGCACGTGAGCCACGACGGACGTTCTTCAATCGATATTCTCGAAACTTTTCCAAAGTAGAGGGCTTTTGTAGACCAAACATTTTAAGGAATTTTGGTAAAAGGCGCAAATCAAAAAGTTGTATCGTTGCTGAGATATTCGAAAAACCGGATTCCGGCACCTTTCTCCTGGTACGGCACAAGTGCGGTCATCACCGCTTCTAGCAAGAACTTTCGAGAAAACAATAAATACTTCAGTTCGATAGCGCCCGAGCTGAACAATTCAAACATGGTAAAAAAAATGCATTTTCGAGGTCTCGTTCGGAAGATCCATGCGCGAGAGTGACCGAATGCTGTTATGTACCGATTACTTTCACTCGCATGCCTTGAGGAAGAACGAATTTAGACTTCGGTTTCTATACGAGTTCCTAATTCGAAAAGTTCATTTTTTTCTATGATATTGGATTTTAGTTTGAAATACCTTTCCGCAAAAATGGTATGCTTCCCGTGGAACCATCCACACACATGATTACTTCTCACAATTTCGAGTCTCTGTTTTCAGTACACGATTTTAGTTTTAAATACGTTTCTCCTTGCGCATGAAGTGAAACAGAAAGCCAGTTTTCATTACTTCCTGTCTAACTGAATAACACTTTTTGTTTCAAGACACTTCTCTCGAAAATGTTGTTTTTCGACTTGTTTTCCAAGGAATTTCCCGGAAATTTAGTTCTCATCTTTTTGGTCGAATCAAAAACGATTTTTAACGAACGCGGTCGAATAACTTTGACAGGAAACCGAAGATTAACCTCATTGGAAGAAGAAACATCCTCATGAGGTTTCGACCAGTTTCGTTTTTTCACGCTCTGGTGGTGTTCAAGCGGTTAAATGTGCTCAAAAACGAAAGTAGTTGAAACCTCATGAGACTATTATAGAAAGTTTTGCCTGCGATTGCCCATTCGAGTTCACACCAAACTTTGAGTAATCTTATGTAAAATGAGAGTAGTAATCGAAAAATTCTTAGTGCACATATTGTGAAAACTGCCAGTTTTACCCGTATACGCCCGAATTCCCCAAACGGACAGAAAATTCTTAGATACTAACCACATCCTATAGTAGAGTTTTGAGCAAGCAAGTTTTTGATGTGAAATCCGTTCTGGGTCAGAGATTCGTTGTCGAGATATTGGGCATCTAATGTAAGACCAAAACGGCCGAATGTGCCTATGGACACCTCTGCGATCTCTGACTTTCCGTACGAAACCATCTGTCGAAGATCGGTTATATTCATTTTGTGGAGCGTCGAAAGTGGCATCTTTTTGTAGAGTTAGGTTGGGAAACTGATGGCTAGATAAAAAGTTTTCAGGCACTCGAGGGTGACATGACGTATGTTGGCACCTCGACATCAAATGCAGCATAACTCTTCTGTGTACCCACCTAAGTGAAATTTTCTTGCACAGAAAGATGCGTCCGGTCCAGAGCTCTCCTTTGATGGTGTAGGAATCAGAACCTAAAGCGTGGCAGATATCGACCTAAAACGAGCGGGGTCCTTTGAGAACAAAAAGTACGAGGTGGGAGACCAGAGTAGTAAAAACCTAGGAAAAACGAACATTTTCCTATTCAAGAATCTTCTTGCTAAGAATGAAAATGTGCCTCCTGAAACATTTTTGTAATATTTTACTATAAGAATTACGCCTCGACTTTCTTCGCCAGCCAAACAGATACCTTTGGTTTCTGCTTTTTTTCTTCGAAAGATGCTCAATTGTACTGAATTTGGTTAAAAATTTTTCGCTTTGATACACAAAAAAATAACAAAACATTTTTCAAAAAACAATCCAGTCCACTAACAGAGAAAATCGACAATTCCAAACGATTTCTCTGTCGAATTCGTACCAAAGAATGAGTCTCGTCGAAAAATTTCGTTTTTTTTGGCAAAAAATGATTTTTCGAAACCGTGTTTTTAACAAAAAAATAAAAAAGATATACTGGTAAAATACTATCGGGAAGAAACTTTTCAAGGATTTTCTTCTCGATCGAAATTTCCCTACAAATAACATTCACACCGAACTTTTTGACATATCCGCTTTTTCAGGCTCTTATTTCTTCTGAAGGCTTCACAAAACATTTACTAAGGCAAGCGTGCAAAAGAACAAAACATGTAATTTGTGAATAGTGTGTAAGGAACGTTGAAGAGAAGGAGTCTGAGATACAATTCTTCACGTTTCGATTGCTGAAAGACTCAACAACCACGACTCACTTCGACTTGAGTGTCTGCTGTCGAACTTGCTCGGCAACCGCCTTCCAGCTGTTGACAATGTCGAATTCGATGACGGGAAGTGGAAATGGGTTCGTTCCATTTTTCTGTCAACTCTTCACCGGCACGTCCACACGCACGCCGTCCACCTTCATCGTCGACGGCCAGTGGCGCAGGCGGCTCTGGAGAGGGAAGTTCGAATGGATGAAGAGAAGAAGGGTGACTTACTTCGGCGACTCGTTTCATGATCGAATTTCTCAGATTAATAAGATATTTCTCTGTTGCGCGTCCCTGTCGACAGACGATGTGGTCGCGAGTCGAAGGAATCGTACAGTTGAATGCCTGGAAAGAGGAAGAGAGAGAATGAGTGGTGATGAGACGAGAAGGTGTCTTCTCACCATCTTGGCCTTGAACTCGTTGGGCAAGTCCGAATCTTCATGTCCGTACCAGTCACTTCCGTTTGGTTGTGATGTAGTTGACAATGGGAGATCGATCAACAGGTGCATGTCTGGGAAGCGAGAGAAATTGAATTTCGAGGTTTTTTCTTACACCTCTTTTTGTGTCTGCTCTGTCTTTCTCTTCTACACTTCGACAATTTCCAGCAATAGTAGCATGAGATTTCAAGCATTTTGGAGTCGTTGTTAGTCAAAAAACTGAGATCATGGACAATTCGCATCCGCGGCGAGCTGAGTTATTCTTTACTATTTTGTTCGGTATGTGACATCTCTTCATACTGGCTACAGACTCACAATATTTATCTTCTTCTCGCATTAGTTCAAGTCAGAATCGACTGCGAATTCTGTGTTATTTCCCGACGAGTTTAGGTCACGATCTAGGTTAGGTAAGGATCGATTGCGAGGTATAGATGCCGATGGTTATCGTCGTTCCCTTAGTGTTCACCAATTAAGCCTGTGAACGCGATTTTGTTCCCAGATGGCAAAGCTTTTGTGGCTGCTAATACTGGTGAGTAGCTCTTCGGGTAAAAGGTACGGGTTTCCAGGGTGTTCATTCTAGATAAACACTTATTAGAGAAATACCTTTGACTACTGAGTCGAGAAAACCTCAAGTTTGTGTCTCTTTTCTAACGATCGTGACTCACTCTCATAGCATCGCGCCCCCCAGCCCCGCGACACCTGTACTTCGACACGAAGTGTCGAAGTAGAGGTATATGGTTTGAAATATATGGATTCATTGAATAGACTCTTCGAAAATATCTGGCATAGAAAACACAGCTGAAATACATAAATAAAAGATTTAGGGACTGTCAGCATCTGATTGTTTGAATACGTATAACTAAAAAACTAAAAATCATAAGAAACCAGAGACCGAATCGGATCTGACGTGGATGACCCGAACCCAACCCGATCCTAATCAATATTTTTTATATTAACCCGAACCCGACCCGAATGACCGGAAAAGTTTATATGTATTATATCATCATGATACATATAAAATGTGATATTTTAGAAAGTAGCGGTCACGCGTGGAAAAAGTTATAGATGAAGGTGCATTGATGAGGTATTGCTTATGTTATCTTAGTTTCCAACTAGCACTCACATCTCTACCTCTCTTGTCGAGCTAAGTTGGATTGGGCATGAAATTCGAAAAATATATTCATCAAATAAAGCACAATAATAGTGACTGATTCTATTTCACTGAGAAAATATTGCCATCTCTATAGTGCCGTATCACTACATCACTGGGTTTTTGATTCATACGCTTCATTAATAAATAAGGGAGGGGAAACAAAGAGATAAAAATATTCCATTTAATATAAACATCAAAGAAAAAAGTGTTTCTTGTTATATCAGCAGTAACTACTACGGCAGTCCCGAGACAATTTTCTAATGTCACATACCGAATTCTGCATGCGAGATACATCTTTGTATGCAAGCAAACTGAAAGAACAATTGTTTGATGTTGACTGAGAA